AATACAATACACCGGACAACAGTAAATATACTACACCGGACAACAGTAAATATATTACACTGGACAACAGTAAATACATTACACCGGACAACAGTAAATATACTACACCGGACAACAGTAAATATATTACACTGGACAACAGTAAATACATTACACCGGACAACAGTAAATATATTACACCGGACAACAGTAAATACATTACACCGGACAACAGTAAATATATTACACCGGACAACAGTAACCATATTACACCGGACAACAGTAAACATATTACACCGGACAACAGTAAAAATATTACACTGGACAACAGTCAAATTGTGTAGAAGTATACAACAAGATATATATAAGTATAACATTTCTAGTCGTTTCGGACTGTTCATGATTACACGAAATATTTACAGATTGATATTATTTCATGTTTATCTTATTTTTTTTTTTTTTATTACCGCATCACAGATGCGAAATATATTAACAAAATACGTAAATGGGCATCCCTGGGTATACGAGGCGAGAGATGTGTCTTTATACAAGTTTATGTTTTAACAATAAAGCTTTTAACGTACAATTATCAATAATATATCAGCAGAAAAAGTATCAGTATTTATGTAACGTGTACAGAATGACGAACTTTTAGACTTACGAGCTAGAGGTACATCCCAAGAGCTCTGTTGGTTGAAAAGATAAGTAATATGTGTATATTTGGATACGAAGTTTGAGTATCAAGAATGTTTATGAGCACGCGTAAATTTTGTTACACCTGTATGATGAGCAAAATAATTGAGGATATAGATAAATCAGACTAACGAACATACAGTAATGGATAGGAACACACGAACAAATATTTTCAAGGTGCGCTTGCAAAGGGAGAAAGAAAAAATCTATTAATACATGTAGATGGCTACATGGATAGGATAGCGGATTTATGAGTTTAACAAAAAAAAATAACTTCATTAGTTCAATAAGCCGTGAGCACATCCTGAGAACCACAAAAGTATTGAACAAATTCTGATGTAAGCTTGAATTATATACTCGATTTGCATACATTGTGTTAATATATTTTCAATTAGATCTATATAGAATAAAATTTGTGAATACAAGTTTCATGCTATTGCTGAAAAGACAAATGTATAAATGGCTACAAAGTTGAACATGTATAAGCTAAAATGCGTCCAGGAAACTGACAGTCGAAATCGAGACGTGGACTTCCAAAAGGCACATAGGTCCTGTGTTGATATAAGACAGATAGCGACCGTCGGAGTGTCAGCCCAGCGACGCTGCTCCAACTAGGTGATATCACATATTGTGACGTCCAGCTGATGGCGCAGCTCAGATTCGTTTTCAGCCTCCAGATTTGGCCACTTTCTCTAATCAAAATCTGCCATCTGTTGTCCAAGTCAGCATGTTGGACATTTTGCTGTATGGCCTGCAGGTCATTGGACATGTGAACTCGGACAGCCATGGCGATCCTCTGGACGTCAATGTACGATAATTTCGAATTCCCGGGATCAGCAGCCTAGAAATCAGCTGTCTCAGAAAAACTGGGTAGCGGAAAAGGTAGAAGGCCTGGCAGGGGATGTTGGATTCCCTGCTGGAGGGTTGGGGATGTAGTAGCCATCGGGGATGATAAATTGAATCCAAACACACTATCGGATAACGGGGTTGATGTGGATGGTAAATGTTTTTGTTTTTTATTGTCTCTGGTGATAGGGGATGGTGTTGATGATGAGGATAATGCTCTTTTTGACTTAGAAACGGGAATGGTATAGTTCCTGAATGACATTGAGTACAAGTAAAACAGTCAAATATCACTTCATTTCAATGTACACGTTCACATACATGTTACGGTCACGGTTCGATGAACACAGGAATGTATACCCGACACAATAAAGCACTTTCAATAAAATGTTATTCAGCTGGAGTGAGACATATCACATGTACGGTATAGGGTATTTAACCAAAGAAGTTATTCAATGCATCATAAAACAGTCAAGAATCAGATCATTTCAATGTAAACGTTCACATACATGTTACGTTCACGGTCCGATGAACACAGGAATGTATACACGACACAATAAGCACTTCCAATAAAATGTTATTCAGCTGGGATGAGACATATCACATGCACGGCATAGGGTATAACCAAAAAGGTTTTTCAATGCATCATACAACCATAAGTCTATACCAAACCTGACCCCGAAATACACAGAATTCACATTTCCATTGGAGCTAATCTGTCAACACCGTCCATATTATCCAAGGGCCGACAACTCTCACTCATATAGATTATGTTACTAATGATATAGATTATTTTTGAAGACTTCTAGGTGAAACAAATGTTCCAATTATTGAGCTTAAAACTGACAAATTAACTCAATTAGATTAAATTCGACTGAAATACGCGATGTTCTACAGATATTGAAGCTCTACAAGACTTCGGATGAAGATGGAATAAGGCAATACTGCACACACTGTTTGTATTACGTTATATTTATTTGATATTTCCTTAACAGCAGGGATTTATCCAAACAAATGGAATTTACCTAATATTATGTCATTGTTTAAAAAGGATGACAAGACATTCTCCTTCGAAATTATGTACCTATTTCCGTGTGCTGTCCACTGTTGGTAAAGATTTTGAGTGCTTTTTAAACTGTTGTACAACTATTTTATAGAAAATTCTTTGTTTTACAAAAATCAGTCTCGTTTTATTCACTGGGCAATTTTGCAGTGTATCAACTCATTAACATTTATCACCAAATTCGTATTGCACTCAGAAAAAACATGCATGTGTTGTATTCTTTGACATATCCAAAGTCTATGATAGGGTCTGGCATAGAGGTCATTTGGCGAAATTAAAAACGTACGGAATTTCAGGTGAATTGCTTATATGTCTGGAAATTATTCATCTCATAAATATCAACAGGTTTTTTTTAAATAGTTCATATTCTTCTGTCTGAAGGGCATTGAGGCAGGGATTCCGCAAGGCTCTATTATTGGACAACTTTTATTTCTTATAGACATAGAATTTGATGGGAAAGTCTTAAATTTGAAAGATTATCATAAACATTTATGTGTTACTCAATTCGAATGCAAAGCGTGTTGGGGGCGGGGGGGGGGTCATGTTAATGGAATTTGCACTTCGGCTATGAAAAAAAATCAATGTTTTACGGAAGTTGAAATATTTATTAAGTAGGGATGCTCTTTGAAAAAATTAAAAGACATTTATTTTTCTTGTTTTAGAAAATGCTTGTGAGTTGAGGGCGGGTTGCACTATTTTTGAACTAGAAAAGGTAGAAAAAAACAAAGTAAAGCCGCTCGCATTATATTAGGACTGTCTTCATATATCCCTATTAATACTTTATACTACGAAGCTGGTCTTAAAAACTTATCTAATTTCAGAAAAATTAGAAAACTTCGTAACTAGTTCATAAGATGCATAATAAATTAACACCTGAATGCCTCAATGGGTTTTTGCTGTCTTTATGTGGCGAAAATCGTTACGAATTACGTAACAATAATAAGTATAGGATTCCTCCTTTCAGACTGTCTCTTCCTAACTCTTCTTTTCTACCTTCTACTCTTTAATGATGGAATAACTAATAACTTAGGAAATTCAGTTCGATCCCAGCACTGTATTAATTCATTCAAATTCAGTTTAATATAATGCATTCTAAGCTCTAACACCAGTGCAGTTCCCTCAATTAAGATCTTTTTAGAGTTAACCTAGAATTAAACTAATTGAAACGTTGGGTTAGATATAGAAATTCAATTGCTTGGCAATTCTCAAGTTTTCTTGGACCTTAATTCAAACTTTTTTAGATCTGTTTAAACTATATTTAATCCAGCAAGATATTTTGATGTCAAATTTTAACAATAACTGTATATTTGTATTGTTAGTATTGTAATGTTATCTCAAATGTATATTAGGCGAAGGCGTCGATAAGTTTCAATAACTTGTACCTGATCCCTTGTCTATCTCTTGGCAATAAATATGTTTAAACTAACTTCGTGTACTTCACGAGCTTAACATGACAGGGTATCCATAACTACCCAAAACATAATATCTGTATGTAGTCACAGTGTAAAAGTTTCTTTCTATACCATGTTGGAACTCTTCCAGATTTTCACATTTTAAGCCCTTAACGTTACTAAGAAGAATACGTCTCCATGACGCAGCTTCATCGCTAATATAATCGCTGTATATTCCAAACACAGAAACCGCAGTCAGCGCAATAACATTTTAGCGTGATACTTTGCACGCAATAAGCGCAAAATAAATATTACCTTTAAAGTATGGATTTTTGCAGTCAACTTCTACTGTCTTACGTATCTACCATCGACTTTTGTTTTTGTCGGCAGTAATATAAAAAGAACTCTTCTTCGAAAGAGGTGCAAAGCTCATTGTTTGGACAATCGACATCCATGTTTTGTTTATCATACATTTTAGATATTAATAATTTACATAAAAAAGGTGCTATTGCTATTGCTGGTGGATTTTTTCCACAATAACTGCTTGTTACCCGTCTATAATTACATATTTGAATAAGACTGATTTTTATTCTATTTATGCGTCACTTAAACATCAAACCTAAAGCCCACTAGCATCAGTGATGGGTCCCAGAAGAAAAGAAGCGGTTATGTGAGAAATTTAATCAATTATTTGGCATAAACCATTGAAGGAATTGTGCATGGCTTTCAAACTCTTTAAATATTTAATTTTACAAACATTTGTTAGCTGGAACAGGCATGGACTACTTTATTGTTTGCTTTAGGCAATATCAACGAATTACCGGTAGCTTCCAGACAAATTATGTACATTTTTTTTCAAGCTCAAGAGAAGACGAGTCGACTCTATCTGATAATCTAATCAGACCACAGATTCAATATATTGTTTGCATGATGTAATATAGTACATCTTATCTTGAAGCCTGAAACTCATTTCGGCAAAAAAATTAAATTCGTCCTTATAAACTTTATCGTTTGAATTTTTTTCATTGTAGTGAGGGTGCCAAAGACTACATACTCTGTTTTAGCGGGACGTACCATCACACTTGAATGTTCGATTTTGCCACCAAAATACCTATCTAACGTACACTGGACCAAAGAGGGGGGACAAGCTCAGGTGTTCAGCTCTGTCAGTCCGCGGAATACAAAATATTCTGGATCTTCCTACAGAATGCCTTCATTGACCATACGTGATACAAATGTAAAGGACACTGGTACCTATACATGTAGAGGGCTGAAATCAACAGGTAAAACCTACTCCAGGTCACCTCTAAACTTAACTGGTTCTCCAATCACCTTAACAGTGTGTAAGTAGTAGTTACCAAGTTGTTTTATTGTAAAATCATCAACTTTCTCCTGAGATTAATTTTCGTTGAAATCGTCGGTACGTACCGCTAATTATTTAACGAATTCCATAAACATTAAAACTGGTATATAATCATTGCGCAATATTTATCCACGAAATAGTTTTTCCATAAAAAATAACACGCAAATCTGAGGCCCACGAAAATATCGGATTTTGCAGTATTATTGACAAGTTTAGAGTTTTGGGCTTGTGGGCAGTACATCAGCTATTTCGCTTGACACGCAACCGACACCGATATTAGTTGTAAAACTTGTGCCCAATCCTATTGCTACTTATGAGCAAAGACATATTTATAAATCACAGAAAATTAAACTGAAATGCATTAACTACGGGATTTTCATCTAACAATTCCGATATACATTTCTCTAATTTAGCTTAAAGAATAATTTTAGTCAGCGATTCTGACCAGATAACGGCATAAGATGGTAGAAAACATAAAACTGTAAAGCAGCTTATTCAATATGGTGTCGTCTTATTGTCATTATAATGTAATGTCAAACTATCTGATCTCAAAAAGCTCCCAAACATTTTTTTGAATACAACTTTATTGTATGTTCGGATTCAGTTTTTCCTTTTAAAATGTAACAAAATGAAAATTTAATGGTTTTCCGTAAAATATATATATTTTACTCTTATGATATAATACATCAATATTTTTCATCCTTGTTTCGCACTCATGAAAGTTATAGATATTCTGTTACAGGCGTTAAATACTACTAAATATTGTTTTATATTGTATCGATCATCGATACAAATAATCCGTCAGTTTAAAGTCGGTAGGGACACGGTGATTTCTTATGGAACTATACTCGTGTAATATATACTCGTCACTTATCATCATTACGTGTATCCTTTTCAATTTATAAACTTTATACACTTTGCTTATGAAGCGCACATTAGGCATGTATACATGTAATATTCAGAAAAAATTGATCTGACTAATATCACATCCGGATCTAACCAACAATGTCCGCTCGTTTCAACACACCGTGCCCTTACTAAACCGTCTCCTGCAAAGCCAGCCTAGAGTTCCATAGTATCTTTTGTTTGTAACGTCAATAAATGTAATCCTTACACCACCCCAAACCCTACTACCATAAAACAGTATGCTATCTACATATAGAACTTGGTGGAGGGTAGTTTTTACATTTAAATGTAAATTTGTGCATTGAGAAAATAATGAAAACATGGCTTGATGACCACGGCCAGCGAATTGCTTCTTTTTTATTTTAAATAGCATCAGATTTATTCTTGGAGCTTAACAATACATCCAAATAAGCGAGTAAACACGAATCAATGAGCGCTGTACGGTTCCTATGTCCATACATATAATGACGTCATTAAGCATATGACATAATCAATAGTATTGTAATGACAAAACATTGATAGAGGAGCACATACACTAGCACTCCAATGATTAAACTGCCAACGCATATAAGTTTCATTATTCTAAATTTTCCTAAACAATCAAAGCCAAACTTTAGTGGTTCCCACGTATAATACAAAGCGGTGCTGATGTTATGTGAATTTGTAAGGGGATTGACCCAAAATATATAGATGATTAATTTATTTCGTAACCCTTAGACTGGCTGTATTTGACCCTTAGACTAATATTTTACTCTAGGACCGAAAGTATTTTACACTTACATTGACAATAGTTAAAGTCTGCCAAATTCAAACAAGAAAGTGAACAGTCAGTAGTGTGAAGCGTCGCCCATTGTGACGTCACAGACAATCCCATAACGCTTCAAATGTTGTGATATTAATTATAACATCTCGAGAAATGTGTATACATCGCAGTATTTACATTTGAATATCTATAACAGTTTATAGAAGTGAAAATAACAGAACACGTAAGTTGAAAACTACGTCGGTGCCCTTTTTTTATCTACGAGGTGTTGGGGTCGATCATATATATGTGACGTAGACTCGCTTATAATTTGTAGTATCAAAACACATCACAGGGTTGAGTGCTGGGCACCTTGGCACACCTCCGATAAAGCGCATCTTGACGAAGTTAAAAAGGGGATCGGATCTTACACGGTGTCAGATGTAGAATGCTTCATTCCTTCCTTGGCATGAAGCTAGCGTATATAGAAAGTCTTCTTTAGTTACAGTTACTAAATAATAGTAATAACGAAATATTGAATATCATTTTCATAAGACGTTTTACTTTAAGCATCACAGTTAAGCTACGGTCGTTTATCAAACGAAATATGCATCGTGCGCAATCGCCTTTATGATGTCTATGTTGTTCCGTACACGTGATAACTGTCAAATAATGTTGATGTTTAATATGAAACAAGCCGTCTTATGTGGCGATTAAACAGAAAAATTAACACTATCAATTAAAACATCTGGTCAGTAGAATATCAGGTAAGGAATGTTTCCCATCTTTGACGTACTAATGTTATGGTTACAGATAACCCATTTGCCGTCACAATCAAACCAAGCAAAGAAAATATTTCGAAACAGATAGGAGATTTTCTCCCAGAAAGAACATGTGTATCAGATGACTGTCGAGGTAAATGTGAAGTTGTGTGGACTTTACCTAATGGCAGAAAGAAGAAAGACAATATCTTCAACAAAAATATCTCAAAGGACGACACTGGGAAATACACATGCACAATCAGCAATGAGGCACAGAGTGAATCGATATCCTTCTACGTCACCGTGAACTGTAAGTGCGAGCAGTAAGTTATCCTAGTAAGAGTATAGTTTACTGTGAACTGTGTGTTATCCTAGTAAGAGTATAGTTTACTGTGAACTGTGAGTTATCCTAGTTAGAGTATAGTTTACTGTGAACTGTGAGTTATTCTAGTAAGAGTATAGTTTACTGTGAACTGTGTGTTATCCTAGTAAGAATATAGTTTACTGTAAACTGTGAGTTATCCTATTAAGAGTATAGTTTACTGTGAACTGTGTGTTATCCTAGTTAGAGTATAGTTTACTGTGAAGTGTGTGTTATCCTAGTAAGAGTATACTTAATTGTGAAATGTGAGCTATCCTAGTAAAGGTATTATTTACTGTGAACTGTGAGTTATCCTAGTAAGTGTATAGTTTACTGTGAACTGTGAGTTATCCTAGTTAGAGTATAGTTTACTGTGAACTGTGAGTTATCCTAGTTAGAGTATATATAGTTTACTGTGAACTGTGTGTTACCCTAGTTAGAGTATAGTTTACTGTGAACTGTGAGTTATCCTAGTGTATTATTTACTGTGAACTGTGTGTTACCCTAGTAAGAGTATAGTTTACTGTGAACTGTGTATAGTTTACTGTGAACTGTGAGTTATCCTAGTAAGAGTATAGTT